AGAATCTAGCTTCAATATACCTTGGAGAAGGGCCTCTTCTTCTATTAGGCTGAGCTTCATGTTCTGTGGTATATAATCTTCTCGTGAAGGGGTTCCTTGAAGTCTACGATGAAGTGTTGTTTTAGAGACATTGAATGCTTTCGCTGCAGCACTCATGGAACTGATTTCGCCTGATCTAATAGCCGATATAGCAAGCAATATGCTTCCTTCATTTGGACTTGATTGCACGCGTTTCGGTGGTGCCATCGCGTGTTGAAGTTGACGTGTCGATATCCTCAGAAGTCGCGTTCCGCGCCCCCGTGTGTTCCGCGCTCACGTGGCCCGCGTTAGTTGCAAGCGGATGACTACTACGGAACGTTTGACCTCGACTGCCTCGCTGTACGGTGTACTGAATCAACTTCGTCTGTACAATGTTGACGTTTCCTACAATGACACCCATGTAACTTGACAATCCCGGACAATAGCACTTAGGACACGTGAATTAGGTCTTTCCAGCGCCGACCGTTAGGGTAAAGTAATTCCTTTTACATTTGTCTCCCTACGCCTACTAGAGACTCGCGTAAGTAGACTTCCGTCGAGTCTTGGTGTCGAGTTCGCGCTTGTACGAGGTTCTGTGTACGACCTAGTAACATTACTAGCTTGGGATGCATTGATGAGTGAACCAGTCCGCAGCTCTACCGCCTGGTCGCGCTACATGGCGCAATAGGAAATGCATCTACCAGTTCGCCCTCTCGCACTAGTGCTCCTTGTACAGAAAGTACATATTTTTGTGTTTCACTGTTTACGTCTCACCGTTCTATCTCCACGCGGGACACTACAAGTTATTGTATTACTAGCAAGCTCTCGAAGTCATCTGTCCGTAAGGACTTCAATCAAGTTGCAAACAAGGTCTGCACGCTTGTGCCTCCGAACCTGTCATTCTTTTACTAACTTTCTCTTCGCAATTTAGATGTGCCAAGATGTGTTCGCACTCTTCCAATGTCGCCAAATTCATGAAGAGCGAGGCCAAGATCCACTTCGAAAGAAGCATATCGTTCGATGCCAAGCAGCAATAGACGAAGAGAGGATGTGCCTACCACACCAGAGACAAGATGCGCACATTGTTCAGGAGGATTTGCCAGATGAAGACTGTCCGGAGTGCAAGGGAGAGACGCCCCCAGAATCACCTTGAGCATCACAATACAATTGAGGAGACAAGACAATGAAAACTCAACTCAACTGCACTCTTCTAGTCGTAATTAAGATATACATGTGATTTGCCTTTGCGACTCGAACCGAACCTACGTGCTCATTCAGTATGACCCTAAAAGTCCATGTATGCAAGTAGAGAATAGGTGTGGTGCCTCAGGCAGGGAGGGTTGAAACCTGATTATAAGTTTCTGGCCCACCACCGCGGCTTGAATTATCATTCTCTAACAAACCCCGATAACAATGGACGTCGCCCAATCAAGTACGGAGCCCCTCCGGGTTTGCATTCGCATCCCGCTGAAATACATTCCTGGCGAACATTTCAGACGACCGGATCGACTCGGTCAACTATTTTGCAAGTCTCATCTCCGCCGCCCTTTATGTACGAAAGAAGGACATGATTACATACACATTCCACCAAACTTCGACGGCGAAGGAGACGTGAAGTGTTGGTTCATCTTGGATTTCAACGTATCAGGGCCCATTGATAGTAGGGAGTTACTGGAGCAAGTACGCCACGAATGTTACCAAGGGTGCCTTCTCGACGATGGCCAATTGTACGTAAATCAGGCCACAACTCCCTGACCTTCTGGCTGATGAGAGGCCCTTCTAGAGTATTCGAACCGTATTCTAAATCAAAGGAGGGACCAATTTTCGCCTACGTACGGATTTTTGCCTGGGGTGGACTGGAGGGAGAGAATTCGACAACGTGCAAGACTTAGCCAGACCTGCCTTCCTTGCACTCTGAGATGCATCTTGCCCTCGTCCCCAAACTTCGTCTTCCTTCTCATTTCCGAACTACCTCGTAGCTTCTCCGGCCGCGGGGTGCATTGGACAAACGCGGTGAAGCAAGAAAATAAAAGGTCGAACGGTTTGGATTAGAGAGCGGTCCGACAAAGTGATGTTATCAGGCTGAATGGCGTTCGTTTTGCGCTCGATTGCTAACCAGAGAGATACACTACTCCGCAATATGAAGGTGATTGTAGCCATCAACAGTTCTATAGCATACCTATCGCGATGACCCGAATATGGTGCAGGCTGACCTCGCACTTGACGCCTGGCCAGCCTCAGGCAAAGATCTGACCCCGATAGAAGGGCGTCTCCCCACGTAGGGCTCGCCTGGTCGTCGGGTGTACACTACAGTACTCTGTATCAAATGCTACTGTATACTGTATATACCTATGCGTAATGTCGTTCGTCGTCCCTGCAACAATAGCACTCATCTGGCCTACGGCGTGTAATATATTGTTCTCTCCACATACACGGCAAAATGGCCTTACACCAGGAAGAACTGATCAACTTGACCGCTACTGAAGCACTTGCTATTAGTGAAGATGAGGTTGTCCGCCTCCTCGAACGCAATGTTAGTCCACACGGCGGATTCGTCCTCTCGGGCATCTCGGGCATAGAATCAATGTCGAAGGAATCTCGCGATGCTTTAGCCAAAAAATTCAGGTCTGTGTATCAATCGCAAGATTGGGTATATAGATCGCTAATACATTGCAGATCTGCAGCTACCAGAATCCCCTTCGCTTCGATGTATTCTATGGATTCCGCAAAATTGCACAGCCGGCTGGTCCAGATAGCAGATGCACAAGTCAACAATCACTCAACATATCAGTGTAAACAAGTTCTACTGGATTCGCCGGAGACTACCCCCCCGCCAGAACTGCCATATACACGGTCTGAGGAAGAATGCCGTCGAACGCTATACAGGCGCGGTGGTCGGCCCATGCGGTCGCTACACCGGAGATCCTGCCTTGTTCCCTTCGCAGAAGCGTCGTCGATGTCAATGCAATTGAATCGCTGGACGGATTTCCGCCAAGCACAATGGGACCATCGCGGCAGCCGCGAGGAGTCTATTGCGGTATTCCGAGAACGTGAGAAAGAGAAGTGGGAGCAGCATGGATATTTGGAGATGACACGCGACGCAAGTTTCGAGCACAACATATTGAAGGAATGGCGTCCGGCCTCCACACGCCACCGCTGCCTTTCCAGGTGGTCTGAGGAGGTACAGCGCAGCTCTGAAATGTGGGATTTGGGCCGAGAGGTGGAGCTGCAAGAAGACCCTCGACAACAAAGCTCTTCCGCAGATTGGCGTGAATATTTGGCTTATGAGCAGGACCATCTAGAAAAGCTCTGCAACGATGTCGCGGGCTCCGCCCAGCGCCTGCAAGTTCAGATGAAGCTACTACAAGATCAACTTCACTCGCGTACAACACAGTCATCACAGAACGATTCTGTACGGCTCATCTACGAAACGGCCGAAGAGCTCATTCGGCGGGCCACGCAAAATATGTCAGCGCAGCAAGATTGGAGTCGTCAACTATGCCTTGTGGAATGCATTGTGCAAGAGGCACGCCAAGACCTTATACCACCTCGGGTAGAATACTCATCTGCGCACTCGCATCCTACTGCCCGCACAGATAATACATTAGCTCCAACAAAGCTACCCCGAAAGCGCCGCCGCGACGACCATGTTGGAGCTCAATCATGCGCACCCCCTGGCAAGAAGACTCGTGTACGCGCACAGCCTTCGAGCCTTGGCCTACGCCGTAGCTGCCGATTAAAGGAGAAGAGGAACGTGAGCTCAAAACAGTAGCTGATTGATCCGTGTGTAAAATTTACGACAGAGCGACGGGCATTACAGCGAAAGTATACTTGGCCTCTAATCATGCATTATATTCAATGTACATTGTTTTGGCGCGAGTGCCGTGCGATTCCGTGCGTCCTCGAGTACCATGTTCTTTGAGGCGATAAGTGCAATTGGTGGTGAGCGACAACTTATCTAATTAGATACAAAAGAGAAAAGCCGCTTCATATATCCCAGGTTTGAGTTTGACCTTTCCTCTCCATCATTCTTGCGACCTCATCCGCTTGCGGCCTGCTGGTAGAAGGCGTTTGTCGGCTTCGACTTCGCTTGTTGTATTGAACAATGTTGCTGAGGCCTCAGTACTCATGCGAGGACTCGCCTCTTCAGCTTTTCGCTTTTCCAAATCCGCAAGCTCATCAAGGAGGCGCTCCTTAAGCAAACTAGACTTCTCCCACGGACTATGAGGTCTAGGGCTCGGGCTCTGTGGCGCTCGCGGGGTGCTCGCCTGAGAAGGATTGCTAGCAAACGATGATTCATCTGTAATCGACTGAGGGTGATCGCTGGCAATCCATGATTCCGGGGCTCCCTCTATGGTTGACTGGAGTCTCACAAGGGCATCCTTGGGCTGTATATCGTCGGACAGTACAGTGTTCGGTAGGAGTCGAAAGGTGCCCGCTTCGGAGTCAAAGTCGGTAGTAACAACATCCTCAGCCGAGGTTCGAAGTGTCTTGTTTGGGAGTTCGAATAGCTTCTTGGATTCCTTCGCAAGATAATCGGCTGTCGACCGCTCTTCTTGGTCTATTATGAGCATGTTGTCGAGCACGAAGAAGATGACATCATCGCGAGGTTGCTCTTGAAGGAACTCGATAAGGGCAGCGCACCAGGCTTGCGGAGTTTCCATGTAATTGGCACGACGCATAGGCCAGGGGTATATGATCTCAGCTATCAAAACACCCGTACTCCAGATGTCAACACGATGGTTGTACTTGCGGTGCTCTTCTGGCAAGAATACCTCAGGCGCACTGCCCACGAGATTGCCGCAATAGCTTGTCAACACCTCGGCTGCCTTCGCCAAACCGAAGTCGATGAGTTTGACGCTCATGTGGTCGGGCCCGTGGTATGTGACCATGACATTGTCTCCCTTGATGTCTCGATGGGCGACGGGGGGTTCGCAAGCATCTAGATATTCAAGCGCCAAGCATAATTGATGCAGGACGTGTACGACCTCCCTGGTTGTTTGCGGTGGATCAGTGCTGAGAGGCTTCCCGTGAACCCATTCCATCACTAGAGTGGGCTTCGGGTATTCGAAAAAATTCTTGTACTTGACAATGTTGGGCTGTGGGAAGGTCAGATCGATAAGAGAAGTACCGAGCTATTTCACTTACATGATCGAGACCTTGTAGAATCCGGACCTCGTCGCGAAGTACGGCCAGTTTGTGTTCATCCACGAACGGCCTTTTCTCTGCATGCTCTTCATTGGTAGAAGAGTTCCAGACGTAGGTTACTACCCCGAAGATCCCTCTCCCAGCGACCGACCGAAAGATCACTCCGGGCCCTTGGGCTGGAGAAACTTGACCAGTGGCAGGCTGTGTCGTACTTGCGGATCCTATATCGAGTTGACCGAAAAGAGAGCTCGGTTCGGCATGCCTCTCCCGAAAGATGTTGACCCGGGCGCGCCAATCGGGATGATCGCGGTCTTGATTATAGGGCAAGTGAACCCGAAACGCCATGTTCGGTGCAAGGTAAAGTATGGGGTCTCGCTGCGCAGGATCTCTTATCTTATTTAAGATCGGAGGCCCGGTCAGCAGCCATGGTTTTCCCCCCTTCCTGAAGCCTTTTAGGTTTGATTGGTCGTTCGGGTAAATTACTCTCGTGCCAAATCTTGAGCCAAGATCCTGAACGAAGGGTATACCGCGTTCGTTAAAATTGAACACAGCGTGCATGGTGCTAATACCTTTGCCAGTGATCAACAGGTCGGCGGACAGGCTTCGGCCCATGATCACTCCACGTGCATTCTTGGCACCATGGCTGAATCTAAGCACAAAGGAATCGGTGTTTTCGACAGTAGCCACATCGTCAGGAGGTGCAGTTGAGGCACGATCGTCTCTGGACGACCTGTTCTCTGCTGATAACTCCAGCATTCGATTCAATCGCGGTTGGAAGCGCAGTCTGTTCTCAGGTAGCTGCACGGCAGATGTGGCTCCACTTGAAATTGGAACCAGAATGAGAATGACATCTCCATCTCGGCATAGATCTTGAAAGGACATGATGGGTGGGCTGCTTGACAAAGTAGAAGACCTGCTAGAAGACAATGAGTCAAAAACATATAGCAATGGTAATGTCTGATTTCTTACCTTCCGGACATTGCGTCTCTTCTTTCTTCTGCGATAGACACTGTGGCGAAGGGAGAAGCTGGAGATTGCTTGACTCGTGTCTCGAGACTGTGCGTTGAGTGCGGAGAAAAGAGTTGATGTGTATCGAGGGGCCTTCCTTCATCAAGTGCCTTTTATACGCTCGGGGCGAAGAAATTCCTATTTCGAGAAGCGCCTTTCAAGAGTATCCCGAAGATAGAAGAGCGTGTTCTCGAAAGGCGCCTTGCCCCGAGCAGTGCTGTGATGGACATGCAGGATTTCATAACCACTATACATGAGCACAGACGCTAGGACATGACGGCGTCGGCATCACGATCACTTTGGGACTTAGCGTCTCCATCTTGCAGGACAATATGAAACATCACCGTGGTTGCTGCCGCCGATATGTTGCAGGATCGCGTGGCTCTGCTGTTGGATGAATGGTCAACCTTTTAGCGAATTGGGGAGGAGTTATGTATCGGTGCTCAAAGTCCCTGACTGAGGCATTCGCGGAATATAAAGTATGGCTGTGGTTTCATTTCGACCCATTGCATTATTCACTCTTTTATTGTCATTATGACTTCTGATCAGCTCCTCAACCACTGGCCGGCGGCAGCGGGCCTCGATCCTGCGGTTCTCAACACAAGAATCGGAACAATACTCGTCGTGAGGCGCGAAACGGAATGCTGCATTACAATCATTGGAGCCAAGCATTTCGTCAATCTCGTCTTCGCACCTCCAAAAGGAACGGACCCCGTGTCCCAATTGACCTTAAACTGCAACTTTACCAGCGAATTTGGCCTGAAGCTCGAGTTCTCTGAATCTCACAGGCCCGAGTCTATCGGGAGACTTCTCAAAACTATCCACGATCTAAATCTAGACCATTGGACTTTCAGTCCGTCTGAACCGCAATTATGGTTCAGGCGGGCTTGCGTGTGGACGTAAGTTTATTGATGTCGATCTCCTTGAATCTTGACCTAATATTGACGCAGGTACACAATCCTTGCCGAAGTCCTGTCAAGAGGCGAAGGGAATGATTTGGTTTGCCCAGGCAACGATGATGATGGTCCGTTGGAAGTTGCCTGCTTTCACCTTCTTCAACAGCGATCACCGGAGGATTCTGCTCACAATCATTGAGGTCTTCTCCCTTCGAATAGGCAGTCGAAGATGGGATTCGATTGGGATCCCCGGTAACGAACGGGTCGGATGAGAGGTTTGCCAGGTGTTTTGCAGCATGATCGAAGCAACGCAGCACGTCTTTTCATGAAGAGCCTGGTAGACTACCGGGAGGAACATGTAGTTCACACGGTTGCTGCAAAGAGTGGACCGTCTAGATACACTAGGATGTCTATCTGTTTGAGGCAGGCTTCATTGTGTCCGCGTGAGTCATCAAACAAAGTTCATTTGATCCCAAAAATCGTTCACGTGGCTCGATCCCACGTTTTACTCATGACTGAATCGAATAAGTTAACAAACATGAACTTGTATGACTGAGTCAGAAACGGGACGTCCAAGACTGTAGTACCTGAGCCAGATCATCGGCGGTCTCGGGCGAGTAGAGATGGTAGATGTGCGATCTGAATGCATCCCATGTGTATTGCTCCACGAGTACGGTCGTCCTCCGGCCAAGGTGTTTCTTGCAATGATCGATAAGTAAATCCCGGCGATTGAATGGCTCACGGCATTTGACAGGGCAAGGCCATCCCGGTGTTTCATGCACCGCTTCGTGGCGCTTGCACGGGTCTGATCTGTTGAATCCCATTTTGCAATACCGGCAGAACCATTTTGGTGCGTCGTGCGTATTTTCGTGGCGCGTACATGTGCTCTTCTGTTTGAACCCCTGTCTGCAACGCCGGCATCTGAAGGGGAATGCCAAATCTGTCTGACCACTAGATCGTGCTGTCGCTGGCTGAGACCGTCTTCCTCCGTGACCATTTTTCTGTCCAGTTGGATTGCCAAATGCAGATCTCCGGACATGTCTTTTCAGTTCGTTATGCAGCTGCTCCGCGGCGTCGAGGGACCAAGAATTGACCCAGGTGGGAACGAAGGCCTGGATGGTGCTGTTGGTAACATTGGCAGCGACTGTGGTTGTGTTTGAGTGCGCTGCAGGGTATGTGGTAGGCTGTACCGTAGGAAGGCCGTGCCAGTAAGGGCCACCGAGATCATAGTTGTTGCTGATATCATAATCGTTGCCAGCGGGATAGGAAAATGGGATGTTCCCATCGAAGGTATGGTCTCTTGCGGAGTCGTCGCTCATCTTGCCACGACTTGCAAGGTAAGTGTGGAGCAGAAGGAAAGAAACACAAAGAAAACGAACACACAGGAAAACAACGAAGAGTCAATAAAAGCACCAGGACGCACATGAAACTCTGTCCAACGCGGAGGGACCACTTTCCCCAATCGAGGTGCATTTCAATCATTCCGCCCGGAGTCATGAAAGTCTAGCCTTGGTGTCTCTACAGGAAAGTGATCAACGTGTTAATCAAGGCCTAGAACCAGGGTGTCCTCACTGCGGGAACTTCGTAGACACGTGCGAGAGATTTCGCGATTGCGAAGGGTGATCAGTTCACATTGACTATCCACCGAAGACTGATCACGAGCATTCCGAAGATGATACGCCAATCTGTTATCAATGTCCATATCCATCACATTCCGAAACGCGGGAGGAGTGGAAGTAACCTATGACGAAAAACAAACGATTCGGCGCAGCATGACAATCGTGATCGCAGAGGAGTATCCTCAGGAGATCAGCTAGACGCAATTTATCGCAATTCTTTCTGGATCCGAACGCGTTAGAACCCTGCCTGGAGTGTCTCATCATGGGCGGCCTGCGAGCACTAACGCAACTCACGTTCATTGCCGGTGAGCTGAAGAAGGGCTCAGCGCGCCTCGGGCCGAGCCCGGTGCCGCCCCACCCGCTGAATCGAGTGGTACCTTCCAAGGTTGACATCAACCCCGCCATATGGACAGCAAAACGACACCTCCGCGGCCTCTTTCAGACGCTCACCTTCGCGAGATTAGGAAGTTTACCAGCGTTCGGTTCCATCATTCGCGATTCGACAAGAATTGCCATCCCCAGAGAGCACGCGACGAATACACGAATGATGGCTCCTCACAACTTCTCATTCAACGAAACGACGGACGAAGAGACAGTAAGCCGCGGCGAAGCACTTATGAAGGCATGTTCTCTCATTCTGTCTGTCGCAGAAGAGAATTTTGACCAAGTTTTTTTCAGAAATACGAAAATCAAATTTTTGGGTATAAAGCTTACAAATACGCCACGATGAATTATACTGCGGACAAGCCAGCTGTTTTCCAAGTGCCGGGATTCACGCTGTTCGAGAACTTCGAAACAGGTGCACATATGAAAGTGCAACCGGGCGAGAGTGTGAAGTTCACCCCGGGCCTGTACATATGCGTGAGCCTTGTACAGTCTCCCGAAAAAGCTTAGCACGGTTCAGCTTGCCCCCAATGTCAAGGCCCAGCTTCGAACGGTTGTTCCAACTGAAAAGGGTCCTCATCTTCGAACTTCGAACCAGTCCAGAACACAACCGGGAAGGGATGGATTGGAAAGTATGTAAAATCTCCTGGTGGTGTCAATCCTTGTTCCAGCAGTGGCGTTCGGGCTGGGCTGAGACATGTCATTGGGGATGCACACAGCGTCTGCACGCGAGCGCGGTCCCATTGTACAGGCGCGCGCATAGGACCTGACGATCTTGAATCCGGCTGCGCTGTGTCCGACTCCGGCTCGTCCTGTGGCATCAGATTTGGACTTGGCGTTACGGAAACACGAAGGGGAGAGTCCATCCATCGAGACTCTCCATGCGAAGTTTCTGATGTGGCTGTGAGGGCGGCTTCTGGGGACTCGACTGTAAAGGGTATAAAGACAGGTGTACGAAGATTTATGGTCGCTACTTTCTGGTTGAAGGCCTCCGCCTCGCGATCCCGATATAATTTACTGAACGACTTTATCCAGCAAAAAACAGTCTCATCTTTGAGATTTTTTGCCTCTGTGTCGATGGCTCTGATGTTTGGTTGCGTAATAGTGCGTAGCTCTGTAGGTCGAAGGACTCCGAAGCGGCCTAGAGCTCCAAATTGACGGTCCTTCATAAACTCTATCATAACGTTCCCAGCGGTAATAGTCCTCTTGAGCCTGCTATCGTAGTGAAGCTGTGTAATCTTAGCAAATGCCTTCAGATTCGGGCGCTTTCCCGAGATGAAGGTTGCGTATTGAAGGGCAAGTTGCCACATCGCGACTACCCCGACCAAACTTTCCTCGACCCCATCATCCGTGGACCTGCTGCTATCATTATCCTTTTTAAATAGCATGGCATGGCGTCCGGGATTGTAAGCATTTGCTTCTCTCATGTACTTGTGGAATGTCTCTTCAGCCTTGTAGTTTGCGCAGAAGGTTTTCACGGCTGCGAAACCCTTGTGTAGCTTTGTAAGTTTCTCGAAAATAACTTCATCGTCTGTGTCTTTGGAGGACGTCGATGACAGGGATGAGGGCGGCGTTCGAGAAGGACTGGACGCTGAAGAAGTTGTAGAAGAGGGACTGGATACGAGGGAGAGGCTTGGCGCTGTCGCGGAGGTCAATGCCAGAGGAGACGGCGTCGTTGAAGCGGTTGCGTTCGTTTGTGTGAGACCGGGGCTTGTCGGTTGAGAAGAGGTTGTTGAAGAGCGGAGAATTTCGACACATGGGGAGGAGGTAGATGCGAAAGATTGATTGTCTACTGGAGGCGACAGTGATGATGAACGCGCAGATGTACTCGATATGGGAGTAGAATACGTCGTTAAAAAAGGTGTTATCGCGGGAGAGGAAGTCCCCGTCAAAGATGTGTCTAATGCAGAACAAGAGTCCGTCGTCGAACAGGGAGTTATGACCGGAGTCGGTGGTGCGCATGGGGCCGTCGTCGAACAGATTATGATCGGAGTCGGTGGTGCGCATGGGGCTGTCGTCGAACAGGTTGTAATCAGAGTCGGTGGTGCGCATGGGGCCGTCGTCGAACAGGTTGTGATCGGAGTCGGTGGTGCGCATGGGGCCGCCGTCGTACAGGGAGTTGTGATCGGAGTCGGTGGTGCGTATGGGGCCGTCGATGGAGTGGATTCCGAGACATCGTTCAAGGTCGAACGTGCTAACAATCGCGGACCGGCGCAAAGCTTCTTCGTGGATTGCGGTGTAGACTCAGCGGATTTTCTCTTGTTGTGACGTTGATTCTGTTCGGTAAAACAGAGCCTGTGCAATTTCTCGATGAGGTCTCTATGGGGAAGGATGGCTCTGTTCGAAAGTGCACAAATTTGTTCCAACTTTAGGCGCAGCTCTGTAGCGTTTGATGTTGAGGGCATGTTGAAGTGTGCTTCAAGTGAGTGAAGTGTGATCGAGGGTAAAATGCCGTGTTTAAAACACGTCCTCGAGATGCCAAGTGCGACTAAGCCGAAAAGAGGGAGCAGCGACGCAGAATACTCACTTTTTGCGTCGCTGCCTCCCATTTTTGGCTTAGAGGCAAACGGTGGCGGCGGCTAGGAGTTGATCAGCCCGTGATGAGAAACACCAATATGCGGACATGTAGGTTACCATGCATCATCTAGCAGAGTTCACTTATACAATATCCCTCAGAGCAATATGGGTCTACAGCAGTGTCTGATATCTTGACTTCTAGTGCGGGTCGTTCCATAGGCATACAAAGTATACAAGCAGGGCTGTTGGAACAAGACTTGTCGCTAAGTGTCTCGAGGATAAGGGCTGTTGGGGTGCAACACGATACAGGAGTTAGGGGTGCTGGCAGCGCAGCATGCACCCCATTCTATGACCACATGATCGCCGACTCCCGAATAACTATATTAAGGCTATCGCCACCCATGTGTACCACCGTGAATGGAGAGCATAGTTTCAAATACTTATTTCGGTCAGTCTCCTTTACTGCCATGGATCGACAGCACTGACTCGAGTGGCAGATACGATGTGCAAGCGATTGCAAGTTACGTGGACCTGCGGGCACACAGCTACCAAGACATTAATGTGCCACAAATTCCCGTCGGATGTCTGTGATCTAGTCATGGTCAATCTATCTTCGACCTGCCCAGACCAAATGCGGCATAAGAATGGTGCAGGCGACTCATTTCGCGGACTGGACAAAACCGCACCTGTCTTCACCGACGAGGAGCGCGTGTTGCGCCTGGCCGGGAGCGTGTGGTATAAGATCGAGGGAGGATGGAGTACAGATCCCAATGTCTGAGGTTCTCGAGGGTGTGGCGTGATCATCACTGATTGACTCGTCGGTCCACTTGTTGTGAAGGAGGCTGGGAGCTGGTGTTTTAGCCCCCGTTAGTGGCTTTGCCTAGTGCGAATGGATGCATGGTCCGCTAGCGTTGGCGCATCATTTTCACAGGCTTTTCATCACATTATCTGCCATTTCTTAGCTTCATGTGGGGGTGAAAGCTTCCATCCAGTCACGATGAAGTGTGCCAGTCTTGACTCGCGGACACGTCAGCTTGTTTCTCAACGTACACAATCTTGACCGCACTTTGGGAAAGAACCAAGATGGAGACCATCCTAAGCGCGCCACAGGCTCGCGCGGAGTGTGGCTACACTAAGAAGCAGTGGCAATACTTTCTGGTAAGCAGCTGTCACCTCCGTACTGGAGCTGGCTGACATGCAGCAGGGTATCACACGTACATTGATTATAAACATACTCGGCGGCGACGGGGAAACGACAGGAAGCGATCGATTCAAAGTAAGCTACCTTTTCTCGTCGCATATGTTCTTACTGATAGTCTGGGGAGGCCGAGGCGAGAGAGCTTGGGCGCGACATCCGCGCCACCGGGAAGATAGTATCTACTTGGAAAGAGGTCGAGCCACGATGGGACACTATCGCATATAATTCCGTATCGCGGGAGCTGTATGAACAACGTCTGGATCCGATCCCGATTAACGTATTTGAATGGCGCATGCGTACTGCTTTTGGTTACCAGAAACGAAAGGAGCAGCAAAAGCAAATCGATGCTGCTGCTGGGGCTGGAACTGCATCGACCACCTCGCCTGCAGGCTCGGCCCCTGCCCACTCGGGGGTTCAACTTCCGCCGATCTGGGACGTATTGCAGGAACATTATGAGAACGAATCAGAAGACAGATAGCTTGCAAGGATATGTGCGGCATCAACCATTATACTAGTGAGAGAATCTTGTGTAAATTCCATGTGATACGTTCTATACAATCTCTCAATACACAATTGGACCTGCAAACAATGTCACGTAAGAGCACAGCGACATCTGGATCAGCTTCGGAAAAAAAGCAATGAGCCTCGCCGACTTCAAAAGACAACGGACCTACGAAATTGCGAAACTCTCCGACGAGCATATCTCACAGTCCACGCATAAGGAGGCCATCAAAGAAGCAAGAGAGAGCAGGAATGTCATAACGAAAGAGCTTCGCCGATGCAAGAAAGATCTGGGTCTGGCCCGAGCTATCCCGCACATTCACCCCCAGCAGACTGTACGGGCCATGCGATGCTCGGTAGCTTCAGCCAAGATAGCACACCTCAAGATTCAGCTGCGGACCAATCGTCGGGAGATTGAATCTGCGACCATTGCAAGAGAGGGAGAAATCGCACGCCAATGGAGAGAAATGAAAGATCTCAACGAACAGCATTTCGAGATGCGCTCACACATCGGCGCCGCCGACAGTATGGCTTTCCCGTTTGCTTCCAAGCCTCGCGGGAGAATCGACCGCGAAGAAGAACGATTTTGGAAGAGGGTCATCATGAGTTCGGTGCCCATGGACGATCAGGATCCTGTCATGCACGGCAATGCGGTCTTCGCTCGCGTTGGAAAGGTCGTCGGAAAGTTCATCGACAGACTGAGCCGAGGATAGTGACGGGTGTGGGAATGCGATGCATGGAATCTCTTGGGTCTGAGGCTCGATGCAGTGATGCCGCGACTTGCGGTGGTCTGGGACGAGGCAGTGGATACCGTTCGCGTGGCTTGTATAGAAGCTAGAACTCGGAGCCTACTCGCGAGGTCCCTGAATGCCTGTTGCTGCTGAGCTCGTCGCTTTTCTTCTTCCTCTTGGCTCTGCTTTTGTAGAGAAGTCGTAGCAAGTTGCCGAGCCTCAGATGTTCGTGGATCATCGAGTCTCATGTCGAAGTTGACCGTTGATAAAAGTTTCCTCAGGTCTTCGTCTGGATTTGAAAACACTCTCGAGGTCGGGTCATCTAGTTGCCCCTGCAAGACCTCGACTTTATCACTGGGTATAGCGAAAATGAGAGCGGTTGTGATGTAACCTAGCGAGGCTCTGGTCTCGATCGGCGCCAACGAGAATTTTTTAATGCACTCGAGGTCGATCTGTAGTGCATAGGCGACCAGCTGGGGTATGTACTGGAATATTTGGGCCTGGGCGTTCGGGGTTGACGAGACGAATAGATAATTTTCCCCCATGCCGAACCCGATGCTAACAACGGTCTTTTCTCCACTACACTGACACAAGACACGCCCTAACAGAGTCCAAAGCACGGCGTAGTATCTGAATACGAACATCTCGTAGTAGAAAAAGTGTCTTTAATAAGTTGCAGATGGACTGTATGATGAATAATATCGTGTGTTGCAACCGGGCCTTTATGTATGCTGTCTCGGTGATACGTTCAAATCAACGCGCCCTGAATTGCCCCTATGAATTCCGCGTTCGCGATTCCTGGAAGTGAACCCTAGATCTCCAGCCCTCCAGGGCTGTGAATGCACTCCGATCGGGGAACCGGGAACGAAGATCCATGTTGACCACCTCGTGAAATAGACATTTATTCGACCATTACACAGATGCAGTGCATGTAGGCAGAAATCACAGGATGATCATCGAGCGCGTCTCGCTGTCACTGACTCTACGTAACGATCCACTCAGTCTAGCACGTGTTGAAGATTGAAGGCCTCAGGCGGCAACGCATGGACCCACACGCTCCCACCATTATGTTCCGTGACTTCCGTCGAATGCGTTATGGCGCACTCGTGACAGGATTTCCGTGAGCTTTCCTCCATTTCACAGCATTTCCTAGCGCGTCCCCACTTTTGCAAGGGTCTTCCCACACTGCATGGCGCCCGGCCCTCTTGAACGTCCGACCGTTTGCGCGCGCATAGCCTGCCTGAGTAGTAAGCCCAACCAAGTAGCACGGGCGTGAGCCTCCACGGTGGCGGCATCCACACGGTACAAATCTTGTGATGTACCTGCTGCCTCGCCAGCTAAACCTTTCCCATAGCAAGTCTATCTTGCTCGTTGCCAATTGTTTCGCCGATCGGCGATGCACCTCGACGTAAGTATCAGAATCTTTTGACGAGGGGTGGACCTTGGTCGGTTGTGCCCGAAGAAAGACGCAAGTCTATTCTCGGTATGACAGACCAATCAGCTCGACCGACCCGAACATATGCTTACTAGGGCGGAGAGGTTCCCATTCGTGGGAGATATAAGTAGAGGGTCAATTCTCAAAGCTCCAGCTCACTCAACCGGACCGTTATACCGCTCTGATCCTCGAAATGCAGAGTTCTACGAGCTTTTACGTTAGTCCGCCCTTGGAGCAGGCCAAGTACGAAAACGAACACGGTTGCCAATATTCGGAGCCACAGGCACAATTCTCCGAGCAATTTCAAATCCAGGCGCAAATGCAGGAATATCATTCTTATGCCCCCGGGCTTCAGGGCCACTTGTTACACGCAGACTGGAAAGCTACAGCCAGCATTCAATACCTACCACGCACAGCTCAACCATCTCAGAGCTCGAGTTCGAGCACACTCAACATGAATCTTGCGCCACAGTCGAATACGCAAGATGCGGACGCGGTGATGATGGCGTACTCAGCACCACAAGAACCACGAACCACGCCTGAAAAAGCTCGCAAATCGTTTGTCAGAGCTCGACTAGTATGACATATAACAACTCCTACTCCTTAATATACTTTGAAGCTGATATTTCGATGTAGGCCTGCTTGTCATGTCGTCAGAGCAAAAGAAAATGCGATCAACAACGACCTTGTGAAGGTTGCAGGCAGCGGGGTCAGGAAGAGGACTGTCTCTACGATGAGGTGGTCAAGACGCAACAGCTCGAAAAAGTGGTTGAATCAATCGAGGAGCTGTCGCAGACGATAAGGCAAATGACGAAGGAAATGACTTTACTGAGTCAAAGGCTGTCCGCGATTTTGGATCGAGATGCCCTTCGGCCATGGAACCAAGACCAAGAGTCCACTTGAGCTTGTGGATCTGGTCCGTTGGTGTGATGTTGTCAAGTACACCAGAGCAAGCATTCCATCAAGTAACGTCTCAGTACAACGAAATTGATCTTTATGGTACATGAATATGAGAAATGATGACTCCCGTGACACATCGACCCTCGCGAATAGACGTTAAGACCGTTCGATGACGACCGATTTAAAGTTATGTAAGCGTAAACGCTCGAAATAGTGTGCGGGCCAACAGCCGCAGATGCATGTGATAGATGTGAGACTTACGTACGGTGATCAAGCATCTCACGCATGGGTGTGGCCTCCCGCGTTTCGTGTGGTAGATGAAATTCCCGCGACTATCTTGACTCGGGGGTATCGTGGTGAACTTAAATAGAGTGAGGGCGTCCGCTACTTGAGATGCCCATCTACACACTGTCACCGCTAAAAGTTTCTGGAAAGCCCCCTTTGTTTGCAAGATGGAAGATTACTTGTACACGAATTACAACGCCCACCCAGGCCTACAGCAAGCAGGACCTGAAGAGCAACGGAACTATTATGACCACAACCATCCTCAACAATCGCTACCACATATTTCCGCTCACCGAAGCTTACAGCAAGTACGACCTGAAGAGCAACGGAACTATTACGACCATCCTCAACGATCGCCACCACATAGTTCCGCTCACCGAAGCTTACAGCAAGTACGACCTGAAGAGCAAGGGGAGTATGACCATGGTCAACAGATATCAACATATGGTCCCCAGACGCATAAACGAGGACCACTATTTTCGAATTCTTCAACGCAAAGATATGAGATCGTCACTGTGGCGAGGGACTCGTTGCCTAAAAAAACAATCAGGGGATCATATGTACGTGACGCGAAGTGTTTCACGATGGTTTCAGAGACTGACGAAGCGGGATAGGCTTGCAACGGATGTCGCGCATCGAAAGTATCTTGCAGTCGAGGGACACCTTGCCAAACTTGCCTGAAAAAAGGTGTGAACTGTGTATACGCCGAACAACGAACAGATGCTTGGCGGAGTTGTGTACCCGCTTGCAATCAGTCGAAGATAAATTGAACATCATTATAGCTGGACGCTCATCATAGTCATAAAGTCAATGAAAACGAAGCGTGCCAACATAACGAGACTACATTCGAGCTCATTGAGATTATCACGACAGGATTGGCTGTACGTATTTGCCCCATTATCTTGATTCGTGACTATCAAATCGAAAGTCGACCAAAATATCGTGACACCACCATATCCGGAGTTGTATGGCATCTATACGACGTGACTGCCTTCAGAGTCCTTGTTTTTGGCGGATGATACGAGCACGAGGTCGTTGTCTGTGAGTAGTAGCAACTGTGCAGCCTTTTCCAAGCAAACCTTTGCTGAAGTTCGCTTCTCTGGACGTATGATAATCATGTTCTCCAGTAAGAAATTGAGGGTGGGACTTTCGATATCTGTGTTGGAAATCGCCACATGCTGGATCACTTCGGCGCACCAAGTCTGTGGATTGGCCTTGTACCTTGGCTCATCGTCAGGAGATCCGCATATCGTCCAGGAGACGGTTCTACCCACACCCCAGACATCCACCCTCTGGTCGTACGCATTTCGTAACAGGATCTCAGGAGCTGCCCATTCCAGTATACCGCAAAAGGGATCGAACCGCTCGGTGGCCATTGCAAAGCCAACGAGTTTGACGCTTTTCAAATTGTTATGTCCATCGTACGTGATGATGACGTTGTCAGGCCTGATGTCTCTGTGGGCTATGGGACGCTCACGGTCATGGAGGTAGTCGAGTGCAGAGCACAGCTGCACGAGAATCTGTGTGGCCTCGTAGAGCGTTTTTGGCGAATCTTCTTGCAATGACTTCCCACAAAACCGTTCCCTCACGACGATGAGTTGCGGATGATCGTAGAGAATTTGGTACAGGAAGATGTTTGGCTTGGTATAAGTTAGTTCAGGTCGAATCCATGTCAAGGAAAATGGGGCCTACATGATTGAGATCCCGCAAAATCTGAGACTCAGAATGTATGGCCTGCAACACTGACGGTGATAAGGAGTTGATCTTGAGCGTGGACTCCTCCCCTAAGCGCAAATAAATGACGATGCCCGAGGGAGCGCTGCTGCCGGCCACGATTTCTCTCAACTTCGGTGTATCGTCACCGAATCTCGGCGCAATCGAGTCCCGACGTATCACAGTACGCTGACCCTTGGTATGCACTGTACAGACTTCATTGTTTTGCAACACCTCTACTCTACCAGCGTGTCGTGCCATGGGCTCCAATTTGGCTTGATATGGCTTCAAAGGAAGAATAATGTCTTCCATGTCCATATTTAGTCGGTCAGGAACAGAGAAAATAAAAGGAATATTGCAGGGACTGTGTTGAATTACTGATGACGCGGAAACGATTTATATAACATGGTCGTGTTCTGCTGATGAATATCCAATGCCCTGTAGCGCGCGTCAAAGTGACTGCATAATGCGAAGTGTGGTGGCCCGATGCCTCGATTTGTAGATCCTCTACTTGACGCATACCTTACTTGAAATGCACTTTGCTCACGAGTCAATAAACATAATAGATAGCGTAGGTCCCCTCCGTTTGTTATTATTTCTAATACCACCCATCCCTGCCTCGTTGCAAAAATGCTTACCCATCTGCAGCCCCAAGCGACCGTTCTCGGCGCCCAGCTGAGTGCCGCGAAAGCACTGCTGGCCAACGGCGAAAGTCTCGAGACGGCTCTCCGACGAATCCAAAGACAAAACTCATTCAGTGCAAGTTGCTCACCAAAATGTGATGATGTTGTCTCTAACGTGGATGAGGACAATCACATTGAAGGACGACATGAAGGGGAAGATATTGATGGTGATAAATTCACTATCATAGATATCATGTTCCAGAGCAAGAACAGCCAAGGCTTCCAAGTCTGCCTTGGTCGCGGGCTTCGATCGACTCCTTCTTGCGGACTGATCTGGACAAGCATGAAGGACCTCATGGCCAGCGGCCGTACTGGTTCCACTCTCTTGTTCGAGGCTTTCGGTGGGGATCAAAGTGAAAGAGAGTTCCATAACAACTTCTGGTCAGTGTTGGAATGCGTTCCGCGCAGCCGCTCTCCCGATGCGTTTTCTATGGACATCCGGTCGGATCGCGCCCTGGTACGCTATCAAGAGACCTTCGATAGCGAGATTTTTTTCAGCTTCAGCCTGAAAGCGCTCCAATCCACACGGCCGGGGCAAAAGTTGTATGATCAATCGTTCTCTTCTTTTAATGCGTCGATCGAGATGGGCTTGCGTCAAAGAGCCACTCTGCCAGGGCTGCTGCGGCTTCTTCTCGACTGCTTCGATGAGCGTAAAAAGCTGCGCTACACGCATGGTGCTCGGCTCCTGGACGGGGTACATGATCTTCAGCGTCTTCGGCAGACCAGTTTTGAATCAAAGTATGAGGACGAAAAGCGGAAACTCGATGCATCGAACGATGAAGCTGCAGCATTGACACAAGTCCTGAAGACGAAAATACGTGTCAGTACATTCAATGCGTACCTTGTCGCCGCCGATAACAACCCGGACTATTTGAACGTCATGGCATCTGAGCTCTTCCTTGGCGATGAGTGGACCGGTCTACGTGCTCAGGCCTCAAAAATCGCTCGTGGCGAACCCGATCAGCCTCGATTACTTGTCGAACCTTCTCTTCAAAGTTATCCTACCTCTCTCGCGGACGATGTCGCACGACTAGTCACTCTAACCAGCAAGATTGACTGGGAGACGACAAGGAGCTTTCTTCCTACACTTCCACTGAATGCAGTGGAGGAACCTTCACTCCCACTGAATGCAGTGAAGGAACCAAAGAGTAGCAAATTGGGAGCTCTCCAAAAGATTCGGCGAAAGATGAGTCGGAAGAATCTTCACGATTGATTTGCGTAGCCAGAACCACTCTGTACATCTATTTCGTTTCATTTGATGAAGCTTCGCGTGAAAAATAAAAGCGGAAGGCTGCAAATGTCATCTTCTTCTACGCTTGTGACAACAATCTATAAAAGAAAGTAGAAGCTAGGGCATCGGATTGATCACGACTTCCTCTTGAGCTCGGCAATCATCTCTTGCTGATTTGTAATCTGTTTTTGCATGTCCGCCTTCTGCGCCGCTTGCAGTTCCTGCAATTCCTTCAACTGTTGCCGCAGCGTAGTGATCTCTTTTCCTTCCCGAACCGAAGCTGTACGCTTAACAGGGGACTCTTCACGAGATGTGGAGAAGCCGATGGTAGACTGTTGTGAGTCGTTCTCGAGCGAAGTGAAGGACCCAACTCCGAGTGGCTGTCCACGAGACCGGGAGAGCGCAGACTTGATTCGAGCAAGATGCTGGGGATAGAAGTTCTTGTAGATCGCGGAGACCACACCATACGTCTTATGCCACTGCCCAACCGCAACATCTTCTGCAAAGTCGGTGACAAAGACCCGACGTCGGAAGTATCGTGGTGATCCATCCCTGACCACGGCAAAATGTCCAAAGATCTTGATAATCTCTTTGTTGTGCGAGACGGAAAATGCCAAAATCCTACCATCGACTTCGTCTATCGCTGAGATGTTGGTAAAAAGCTGCACAATCGAAAGTACTGCAATGCTCGCTGCGTGCATGCCCTGGCGGTCTGCTTCTTCTATTGTACCTCTATTGCCTTTTGCTTCGCAGATGAGGAAAGGGCAATAGATGCGCTCAGACGGTAGGATCTCACAAGTGTGTAGGCAATTCAGGCGCATCGTCTCGATCTCTTCGTCTGTAAAAGCGGTCGCTGCGATCCCGATGGTGAGGTCGGGCTTAGGCTGAGGACCGCAGATGGGTTCGCAATTGGTCCATTCCGCATCGATAGCTTCCCGGACATGCTCCAGGCTATCATGACCATCGATGTAAAGAAGTTCCGGGGATGGAACGAGCAGGGGCGTGACGTCGCGAAAGATGCGCGCCTCACTCCGGAATCTCACTAATTCCAGAATCTTCAGAAGCCGATCACTGCTGAACATTGTCCCTGTTGGGATCGTGACCTTTGCACCCAACAGGCTATCGCATAGCTTCTGGCAGTCAGCGGAGACAACGGCCTCCGTCTGATGCTCGTTCATGACCAGGCCAGCCTTGAACATCAACTCTTCATGTCCAGGAGACCACGGGGCCGGTGCGTGACCCGCTCGTACCTTGTTACTGTAGCTGCGCGCTAGAGAGTGCGGTCGCTTGCCAGATCCACGACGACCAGTTCGGCTGCTTGCGCGTGAATCCATAGGCGGCCAGGCTCCGAAATAGTCCGCCCAATTGATTTCACTGACGTGTATATCCGCGTCGCGGTAGCTAACGGTCTCCTCTTCGCGCTCGGCTGTCGTCTCGATGCAGCTGCCTGGGATCAGCCGGGCCCTCTTGATCGGTAGCGCCGTGTCCGATTGCGAACGCTTCCTCTTCTGCGGGGGCGAATTACTCTGTGGTGAAGGAAGTTGCCAGACTTCGGTTGAGTTGAGACTGTCGGTATGGCATATGTCGCCCGGCGATGCCATGAGTTGGTGGAGAAGGGGTTTCGTGATACGCTCCACTTTATCAGTTTTCTCGGACGAAACAGGGAGGGGGGCATAAGCCGACGTGCGGCGCGGCATGACTAGGCCCGTCGAGAGTGGCAGCTATCGGGGTGTGTATGTGTGAGTGAGTGGGTGTGCGTGTATGTGTGTGTGTGTGCGTGTGTGTGTGTGTGTGTGTGTGTGTGTGTGCGAAAGCCAGAAACATGGACGTGCGGTTGCATCGGGGAAGAAGGAAGACGTGACGTCTCTCGACGCGCCCGCACCACCTTAGGGCATCAGACGGCAGCGGATGAGGTTTCAGAAATTCCACAACCCTGACCCAGCGCCGCGCAGCAGCTCGGGCCACTTCCTGCGGACGCTCTGCACGTTGTGCTCTACTGGCGTGCTGCGTGTTCAAGGATCGCGCGACGACAATCGCGGATCAATCGCTAGACCATGCGCAAGCTCGACGCGTGCACGGCCGAACGAGTCCGTTCGGTCTGATCGGGATGGATGATGGCGCAGCGCGATGGCAGCTTGTGAAGTATTGCGTACGGGCCGCTTATCACACTATTGATAGTTAAACGGTGTCCAATAGTATCTAGTGATTGCACAGTATGCTTACATCGGAGGACCGCGATGGAAGGGCTGCAAGGATTTTCGAGAGTTATGAACATCGATGGCCGTTCTATTGGATGCACAACGGACAACATGTAAACAGCAGTGATCCACTTTCACTCCACAACCATGAATATGAACACGGCCACACTTTCTCAATACGAATCCGTTTTCTTGTCGACGGATCCACCGCTACACCAGGTACACATCCCTTGCCCGAGCCGAGGAAACATCGTCGAATAATTCCACCGAAGATAACATTGCGACAAACCCATCGGGGGAGACAGGCACTTGATGTTGCAAGATATGCCCCTCCCTGAATTCGGCGTCATGGATGATTTGAGTGCATCACAGATACGACTGGAACAGGTCACCAGTGGTAAAGCTATATCAACCCCCCACGCTCACGTACGAGACCATGAAATCCACACTCCCAGTGCCGAACCTGCCTCGAACTATGAAGAACAATACTCGCTTCCAACGACTTCGCGCCCCCCAGTCGCTCAGATAGTACCAGGAACAAACCCTCCCAACTACGATTTCACAAACCCGAGATGGTTCGAGGATTACTACATAGAATATGATGAATCCCTTTTAAGCGAAACAGAGACAGCAGGCTCGACGGAGAACCAATCGACCTACCCTGAAGCAGCTGAGCCATTCTCGAGGGACAACACACCGGGCAATAAAGTCCAGATCGAGACTGACAGTAATTTGACGCATGTTGACATCACAAGGAATCCACACAGCTGGCGCCCGTCGCCGGATGCGAATTCCTGCTTGGAAGATTGGAGAGAGTTCCACTTCGTTCGCAGCCCCTGTGGCTCAAACCTACGTCTTACCATAAATTACCGAGATCATACAGGTTCAGAGAAGGATCTCGCACTGGAGTTCAGCCTGCTTGATGAGATAAAGGACGCGTTTGACAAGCTTTTCGAGGCCAAGGTCAACATTCCGCACCATTCTTCGACGGTAAAAGACACCCCTGATGTCAGAACCGACATTGCTCACATGAGCATTCAAGAAAGTACCCCTTCCGTGGACAATGTCCGAATTACTCTGGATCCGAACGACACGATACCCTCCCTACCTTGCAAGAGAGATTCAAATAGTATGGCAGGGTCGTCAATCTCGTTGCGAAGCGAAAAGAAAATCGGAGCCTCAACAGCGGACAAAAGGTCGAAACGCAAAGCTGGATCCTCGAGTGAGTTCAGATATCAGTCGTTGGACCGGGCGATCAAGAGACCGCATGTCCAAGAAGCTCGTGCCGGTGAGAAGCGATGCAAGACTAGTCACAGCTAGACCTTCTGTGGACGTGTGACTTATGTAGGCAGGGGAAAGTCAGGTACAAAAGACTATGGGAGTTGGCCAGTAGTAGGCGATTTTGGTGACAGCACTTTGACATTGTGGAGGAAAGACCAAGTTTGCAAGAAGAGCTACAAATCTTAATGTCAACACTGTTTCGTGGCATACAATCTCATGCTCAGTCGTCCCCCAACTCTTCGTCGTAAATGATTCGTGCTCCTGGCCCAGCACCCCAGCTCTCGGCTGGGGCAGCCCCCTTTGCTTCAAACATTGATGTGCCAGTGATCACTGAAGGTCTCATTGTCCATGTAACAGGATGGTTGACGAACAATTTGACCCGTGCCGCTGAAATTGCGTCTTCGTCAGGGCTCTGTGCTTGTCGCTTACGCCGGCGAGTTTCGAATGCGATGTATTCAAGCTGGTCCGCCTCGAAGGTGTTTTCTTCAGGGACTGAACAAAAGTGGACCACATGCTGAATTTCGCGGGTTAACACGCGACACTGAACGTCATTCGAGTAATGTGCCAAGTCACGAAAGCTGTCCTCCTCAGATTGCCAATCTTCGAGCCAGTAGTCTTCGAAAGCTTTTTCAAACGTCTCCACGCCATGTTGCCGCCAGAAATACATCAGAGCTCCAAGGTAGGTCTCCTTTGACCGACTAGGATCACCTCTGTACTGCCATTGCGCTTGCCGAAAGTCAATCCAGCGCCAGAACTGCGCGCGAAATGACCTGTCTCTTTGAGCCTTGTCGTAGAAGCTCGTCAGACACACGGGCCACCCACCCCAGTTGATAATGGCAGCATAAAAGAACGCTTCTGTTTGAGTGGTGTCTGCAAGTCTGTCCAGAGGCGTAAAGCCCACCTTCAACGAATCGGCCGGGTGAGAATACTCGCTTTGGATGGCCTTTTTCGCTCTCCTAAGCATTTGTCAGCCGATTCGCCGTGGTAAAACTCGAAAGCTTACCAAGCTTTGAAACAGACGGCCTGGCGCTGCTCTGTAGAGCTGCGTAAAAAGTCCGAGATCGCGTCCAGATCAATTCCGTATGTATTAACTTTGCAATTTTCTTTGACGAAGCGAACAGCAGCTTCGTCCGAGAGCGCGAGAAATTCTTCGACGGTTATAGTCATAGTCAGATTGATGAAGAAGTGATCGAGGCATTCATGGATAACAGAGCGTTCGGTGTAGATGTACTTACTCACTGACATGCGGTGGCAACGACAATAAAGTGAGTCATCGCGGCGATAACTTGACCGCAGGAGAGGTAGTGCTGCCTGAACAAACGATTGGTCAACTGCTTCTGATTGGGTAAGCGCCCACATACGGATCGCATGAACAAGATCCCGCATACGTTGGGCGCTGGCAGTAGAAGGCAGGCTGGCCCTCAGTCTATCTATATAATCCAGGAGCAGGGCCTTCCAACAAGGCACCTTTTCGAGTACATCAAACAAACTCTACATCAGCCCTCCAGGTTATCAGTCTTCCACGAATCGTTACCATCGAGCGACAACCAAAATGCAACGGAATCTACCAACCGATCAGCGTCCCGCCCATTTCGAGTCCGACGACAAACCAAAAGCATCAGATCAGACTCAAGACGAAGCCGTCCGCTTGAGGAATTTTCACGGCGAGTTCGACATTTGCAGAGGAGCTGCCGACCTGAAGACAAGATATATCCAGACTCGCCATGTGTTAGATTTCTATCAGAATTCTTTCACATCTTTAGCTTCGAGAGCTGAATTGCTGGGACCTACGATCTTTAGTCTCGGTGCCGGACACGAGTGTGGAGAGTTGACTGAGCAAGACCTTTTGGTGCAGATTAGCCGTTTCTTGTCAGCTTTCCCGCAGGACAACATAAACGGCTTGGTGATCGCGTTGCTCTTGCATAAGTCACTGCAGCGAAGGATCTGGCGCCCGACTGAGGGAACATTCGGTGGCACATATATCGATGATATGGCCGAAATGCTCGGAATCCCTTGGCCCTGGGTGTACTACACAATCAATTGGACATGAAAGCTTAAGGTGTCATTTCTGCCGATATACCGATGTTCCAATTGCCCCGAAGTACCGTGCTAAATCTATAATCTATGCCTCTCAAATCTCCCAGGTGCCTTACTCGTGCTTGGGATCTTGATGATCGATGAGAGATACGTTTTCCATTTTCTCGACCCTCTCTCCGCCTTAACATAGGTCCTAACTGCACGTCTGTGATGTCCCTGTTCAGCAGACCCATCACTGATGACTTGCAACTCACACGCCATTGAACTGCGCGACTTCGTGCCTGAGGGTTCAGAGCTGCGGAGCACTTCCCCTTTGGGTCCAGCACTGCCACCTCAAAATATCGTCGATATCTTGCGATGAGTAGATGTAAATTAAGATGTTGGATTTGTCTATACCCAGCCTCAATCACCACGCTCTCATCGAGCTTTTCCCTGTCACAAGGACGCCAAAAAATCCATGCGACCACTCAGTCTCTATAGGAACGATCAGCCATTTGTCGTCTTTTTCGCTTTACCGGCAGCTTCGGCAGAGGCTTCTCCAGCATCGAATGATCTGAACGACCGAATGGTGCATCAAATTGCTGCAGCGAGAGCAAACCTTCAGCGCTTCGAGGCAATCCACTTATACGGAGATGTGCAGATGTGATTCCTCCTAGCGTTATCCTGACTTCGTCTGCAAGAGTTGGCAAAGTGAAATGGATACGTCGCCGAAATGATGGAGCGCCTTTCAAAGACGGTTCTATGCAGGACACAGGTGTTCCAAACACAAAAAAGAAGGCTGTAGAGCGAAGAAGTCTCTCATACAAGGCACGTCGGCCATCGGGAGAGAGCTCCAGCCGACACAGAATTGAACCTTCGCACAGCCACGATGTCCCTTTCCACGATGGCATCTTGTCAAATTCGAAGTAGAACATGGAAGCTAGCACAATATCCTGCATCAAGCGTAGATCAATACCTTTTCGGACAGCATCCATAGCTGTCGTCTTCAGGCTCTCTAGAGCTGAAAGGTCATCAAGCACCGGTTCGGGATCTCGTAGTGTGATGTTGACTCGGTGATATCTCTCCTTGTCAGCCATCGAGAGGCTGCCATTAAACTCAGACCAAATTCTTTCGCCGTCCATGCTCTGCATGAAACTATCATATACTCTCAGAAGCGACTTCCTGTATGGTAGGCTGCACCCGACATGAGACACTGATGCCGTCTTGCCGGTGCCTATAGACAGCGCGAAGTCCGGCGTAGGCTTCGTCGGCCACACTCGAGCGATCTCCCATTTGCAGATTCGGACGGGATTATTGTGCCTGAGCCCACCGTCTTGGAACGTGCCGATGTTCTCAAGAGTAACCGGCTTGAAGAATCTAGGTACTGTTAGTACTGAAACATGCTATGACGACAGAAACTTACAGTGGAGCTGCAGAAGTGCATGTTGCCCTGTGAGTACATTAGCCATGAGTTTTGATACGACTGAAATCCAAAAACGTACGCTTGGGCAAGGCTGACATCTCGCGCAGGGTCGGTTGCTCGGATGACGGTGTATGCTACTTTTTGATGAGCAAAAGCCTCAACAAGAAACTCAAGAGACGAACCGCTGTCTGTCACAGCATTTGCGCTGTGATTGTAGTTGGAGAAGATGCACGGCTCGGGGTTCAGCGCCGTCGTGGTATTGCTAGTCACTGCTACCTTTGTATCGCTCACTAAGGGATTGAACATCTTAACCTCGACGTCTGCGTCAGATTTGAAGGCATCCTCGATAGCTGACGAGCTATGCTTCCAGTCGCGGAGAAATGCTACCAATAATTGCCGCATTCTTCTCAAAGTGCTTACCGTATCACTCGACGCGAATGTCTTAGTTGCGATAGCTTCGAACTTGGATATGCACTCTGTCGTAGACCAGCCCATCAAAAACAAGCCGATCGCGATAAGGCCACCAGCTGATGTGCCTGCTACGAAGTCGAAATGTTCGTGCAACGGGACATCTAGGAACATAAGCTCCTTTTCGAGGCTTTGAAGTACTACAAGAGGGATGATTCCTTTGACTCCACCGCCATCTAAGCTTAGTGCTCGAACACCAGCAGTAGGCGGCATCAGACGAAAAGCAGGTTTATGGTTAGGCTCTCCGCATAACGGACACGCTGAAAGGAGAAAACTGTTCGACTTTGACCCGGACCTCGACGCTAAAGTGCGAATGCATGTATCACACATGGCATGGCCGCAGTGAAGGACTTTACCGCAGGTGCCGACAACACAAGAAAGGCATGCGTTGTTTGTCTTGGTGTCCTTGAGATATGACTTCAATGCAGCCAGATTCCGCTTGTGAAGCGCGATGGAATAATTTCCCGCGAGCACCTCCTTGTGATAAGAAGCGAGATATCTTGCAAGTGTAGCATAGAATCCTGTACGAGACGAGCCCTGTACAAAATGATGATTGATAACGGTTTCTACAGAGGACCGGAACAAATGATCATAAAGCCATGTGATTGGAAAGTCTGCACGCAGGTGATTAGTAGTGCAATATCACACGAATGTGCCGTTAAACTCACTATGGCACCCAGGTGGATAGCATGCGAGGATAATAGCAGACGCGAGGAGTGGACAAAGCAAAAGGAAGCACCACGATTCTGACGGCATGATGGCGAGTATATCTTGCAGATTCGCGGTCAATCGCTCGGTGCACCATCCAGCCGCTCTAGAGGACGTTGCGAAAGAGAAGGACAGTGTGGATTGGTTGGCATATCGACTCAACATGCGGTCGACCAAAGCCGCAAAATGCCCCCGGTTCAAATTCATGCCACAGGTCAGGCGCGCGCGATTGGAGTCTTGACGCATGTGATCGATATTTCCGAGGATGACATTGGCACGTGCCTTAATTGTAGAGCGGGGATTGACGCCAACAACCTCTACGCAACGGAAGTGGGCTTGGAGGGAACCTCGAGGATCAACAGCATCGGGGTCGAGCTGGGCAGCCACCAATCCTAAAAGCTTATTGCTGGCCTCGTCACCGTCGAAAGAGGCCGCGAAGCTTTCTACTATGACTAGAACGGACGGCAACATGGGACGTGGTAGATCAGGTGCTGCGGATGATCTCACGTGGTTACAGAGGATCAAAGCAACACCTGACAACCCACCGAGGTCGGATGCGAAGTAGCAGACAACGTCCGAAAATGGAGATAGCATCATACATAGCTCGAACCCAACAGTGCGTTTGTCCCAGGGCATACTGCTATCAGGTCTTCGAAGTGTACGCGGGACCAATGGCGGAAGCGCTGGCGGCGCAGTGTAGCTGGCCTGGAGGGGCACATGGAGTTCATAATCTAGATAGAGAGCTTGATCTGAAGACTGATCATCATGATTCCACAAGAACGCCTGGCCGTGTGACTTCGAAAGGAACCCATAATCACTACCCTTCAGCAATTGCTGCAGTATCGCAGACTTTGCTCGTCTCCCGACGAGTGTCGTAAAGCGACGCCCAGGCAGCTCAGACTCTCTGCCGAGCATGCTTGAATTCTCGACCAGGAAGAGGCCATCGTGACCGGTGCCGACCGCCAACCAGGGCGGAAACTTGAGCTCGAGCGACATTGTTTGGTATTCTATGTGACTTGGGTAAATGGATGAGTGGCTTGATCGAGACTTCCAGGCCGACACGGTGGATTTATAGATGTGTATCGCGCATAGCCACCTTTGTCCTCTCTATAGTCATTGCGGAATGGGGAATTAGGATAGAATGCACCTGGGTTTACATATAATCTGGAACTAGGAGCCCGGTCCGCCGTTCGCAGAAACTGGGGGTAGATCGACATAAGCGCTGGCGAGAAAGGACCGACGATTGATTGGGGGCGGTTCATGTTCACATGATGAGCGGATGTCCCCTGCCCTTGGGAAGGCTTGTTCCCGTGCAGGGTCTCCTCGCGCGCCCAGGTGCTCGCCCCGGACGCAATCATGTTAGGGTTAGCACGAGTTCCTCTGTCTTGCCTCACCTTCCCGGCCGACATTGCCGAGGGACGACGCGATGAAGATGATGACAATGTTGATCGACTGTTACGCATCTACAAGCTCGAAGGCTGTGACCGTGCTGAGGAACGTCATTTTATCAAGGGCTATATTGACGAGCCTGCACAGTCTGGACTTGTGCAAGAAAAGCCCAAGAATTTTTCAAATTTGCACCCCTCAAGCATCCCATTGATTCCTTTAGCAATTAGTTGCACCGAAGGACTCCATCGTGTCAGGGCAGCCGAAAAGTTTCTAGACGCCCAAGACAAGTGGTGGGTGGTCAAGGTCTATAATAAGCAAGGTTAATAAGGATACTCGAGCGATTCAAGGCGCAATCTAACAATTCACAGATGCCTCCAGACAAGAGCTTCGGAAGGATGCTCAGATGTTCATGAATGAGCAACGGTTCTCTGACGGGTTCATTATGCACAGCATCATCTGCTGTAGGGCAGACAAAGATAAAAACAGCGAGCAGATGTGGTGGGCGAGACTCACGCGAACCAAAGAGTATTATCTTCGCCAGATCCTCAAGCGAACAGCATTTGCATGTCTCTTCCAAAAAATGCGTGCTTGGCCTGGAATGTTCTCGCCTGTCATGCTCGGTTCATTCGAGCGACTCTTCTCCATGAAATGCGACGAGGTTTGTACACAAAATCTTTCACTTGCGGGCTGACAGGATGAGCCGGGTCATCCTGCCAACTTGATGTTGAACAGGCTAACAAATGCCAGGAGCTATGCAATTACCTCGCCCACATTATCAAGTCCTGGGAATCTATTTTAGCAGGAACCGAGAACTCTCCTACATTTCTACTAGAGGAATCCAGCGTAAGATGCTTGGAAGGGTTGGTGCCTGGTCTCTCATCGGCAGACGAAGCTACAATCCGAAGCGCGATCCAGGAGGGCACTTGTTTTGCGGCCGCTAGCTCACAAGACAAGACCCGTATACTCGCAAACCTTGAAAACATCACCTACATGGTCCCGAGCCTCCATATCTTCTTCGAGTCATTGAAATATCTGAAACCATGCACTGATATCATCCGTACTCTTCTGCCGAAGAAATCCAAACGCACAGTGCGAGAAGAGCTTTTCGCCGTGTATCGGTGGCGGGATCAGTCATATCTGTCGGTAGAATACGCTCTTGGTGATTATCGTGATCACCCCTCGGAGGGAAAATTGCGAGACCGCCTACTTTGTTATGAAATGCTATGGTTGGCTGTCCTCCGTCAAGTCGTCGAGCTGGGAAATACTACTACTCGGAAAGAGCGCCACGAGCGTAAGCCAGTGGCTACCGAGCCAAGTCCAATTCTCAACCAAGAGCTAGCAAGCTATGCTTTCAGGCTGGGCTTCAAAACATCCATTGTCAGCAGGCGTAAGGACGACAATGCTGCCGTTGCCGCTGCCCATCAAGTTTTGCAGTCGATGGGTGGCCCAGATGATCAAGATCGGGATCAGATCGCCCGCGATATAGCTGTTTTACTCAAACGCAGGATCGTCAAGTCACAACCCTATGCGCCGCATCTGACTCAGGAGTCTAATCTCCCTGTGCATCGGCGGTATGGCCGACCATTCACCGATGATTACTTGAGCAATCAGCAAGTACTGTTCGTCCCAAATATCCACATGGAGTCGCCTCCCAAGGCCGTGAGTATTTCACCGTTCTTCTGTGTCAGTGATATGATTAAGCACTTTCTTGGAATAGAAAAGGTACGTGTGAGCCATTGTGGTTGTTGAGCTGTAGCTGATAGTCACGTTTGAAGACAAAACACCCGTTCCACATCCTGCCCGGAAGACCCCCTTCGCAAGGTCTAGAAACTAGATTGTCGCAGACTCCTCAGAACTATGCCGAACTCCGGGCTGCTTTGTCAAGAAGTCAAACTGCGTTATTAGAATCTCAGCAAAATGCACACAAGTCGGCTGACGATCTTGCTCTCAAGACGCTTGAGTGCACGAAGTTACAGCAAGAACTGTATGCCTTTCAACAACGTGTCACCACGAGCCATCAGCAAACGAGCCACGAGGGAGCGATGTCGGGCTCCGGTGTCCCGCCGTTCATCCAACGGATTCGCGACTATTGCCGCTCTCACCCAGTACCGCAGCAATCGGATTTTGAAAATGGCTTACGAGTTCTATACGGTGAAAATCCAGAACCAACAATCGAAGACTTTCACGTGGACTCTCGCCAATGTGAAGATTTCGCGAAAAGCGTTGGCCTGTGTACGGCAGAGATCTTTCGAAACTACGATTACTATGCTGGGCACAAGGCAACTTTAATCATTCGTCGGCACAACGATGAGGAAGGAAAAGAAAAATATGTCACGAAAATTGAAGAGAATGTCGCAGGAGTCATCCTCACAGCCTGGAGGAAGCACGCTGTCATCGTCCTATGTCACCATCACCTCGAGCGGGACTTCGTACAGGACAAGATGCCAAACCCATCATCTACGCTTTTTGCGCTAGAGAAGCTTCGTTTTGTTCATGAGGGAGAACTACTTCTCCGCAAGAGGTTCATGATTGAGGATCGCCCTGTTGATGATGACCGAAGGAAGATTCATCTCGCGGGTAATGACGGACAAACCCCTACTACAAGATATGTAGGTAGCTCGACGGATAATACTCAAGGGCGTCGAAAGCAAGAGAGCAGGCATAAGCATCCAGAGGAGCCGTCTAGCAGTGTGGCACGACGACAGGATGTGGAAGTGGAAGAAGATGATATACTATGATGATTTAATATATACATGGCTCAAAGTCGTCTTGGACGACGGTGTTCATAATCATCATATTCATTGTAATTGCCTGAACGCCTTGAGTACAGTCGTGAAGGAAATCGCTCGTTCCGAGCTGGAGTAATTTGCCGCGTATGTCGCGATGGCCGCAGCATCAGATTGGAGTCATTGCGGCTGGGATGGGACGCAGCATTGGCAAGCACATCGAGTGGAGTCGGAGGGTTTCGGCGCGGCCAAGATTGCCTCTCAGGCGTGTGCGGAAGTGTATTGATTGGAGTCCAGGAAGGCTTCACGCTGGTTACAACTTCCTCCAGCACACGCTCAGGCAGATCTCTAGCCTCAACGAGTGCAGCCCGCTGCACGACCGGGGCCGGCCCGGCCACACTCGTGAACGAGGGTGTCGTTTGTGATGGATCCAGTGTTTGATCCCTCTCGACAGCAGGCTCACTCGGAATCGAAGTTGTCAATGCAGGCGTAGCCGAAGCCGACGTGTCTGCGACCGTGAGGTGTGATGGCGGACTGGCGACTTGGTCTTCGGAACCGGGAATATTCCATGTAGGGCTTTCTAGATTTGTGAACTGCTCGAATACTGTAGGAGAGGGAGCTACGATCTCTCGAGATGGTCGGGCAGCGTCTCTCGAGGTTGACGGCCGTCTAAGTCTACCAACCACTTCTCGATCTGCTTTGGCTTCGGCCTCGGTGATGAAGTCTGCTGTAGAATAGACGGTCGCGTGCGATAAGGACTGGAAATGATCAGCCGGCGTTGAGCTAATGGCAATGCTGAACTCACGTTGAAATCGAGTATCCTAGACTTCCTGTCTGTATCGGACACGAATACGTCGCAATTCCCGCTGTACTCGACAACGACGGTAAAGCGGCAGTCCTTGCCCTGGCCGTTGTGGAGCATGCTGCGATAGAGTTCGCTGGATTTCTTGAAGATTGTTTTGACCCTTCCATCTTTGACCTTCTTGATGTTCTGCACCTTGGGTGCGGGATTGCTCCGTGACTTGGCCATTGCGACGATTCTGGTTTCAAGTGCACAGTTCTCGAAAGAGAAAGGTCGGGCCTTATAGCATTGCCGTGACCTATCAGTGCGGCGTCGCGAAATGAGTGCCACTAGCGCAAATCATCAATGGGTGGGATCCCTTCAACGTTGATGCCAGATCCCGGATCCCAGATCCAGGATCTCAGCTCAGGGCAACGTTTCTCTAGTGGGTGGTCCTCCCTCGTCTATGCGACAACGCCCTATGGATATATATGCACCTTGAATGTCACCCCGAACAATAATTTAGGTGCCGTATCGATTCAAAGAAGCATTGACGATGGAGGCAGCCAACGTTTATGGCTCGTGTATCGGAGCATGTTTGGTTATATTTGTCGGCTGGGAGCTTGCAAGGCGATCACTGCAGTATCAGACGCGTGCGAGGCGATGGCTACGTAGTTATACCACTATGGCAGTCGTTCGACGGCGTGGATCAGGCGACTTCAGCGTCGGCGACGGCCTCCAGCTGATCATCCTCGCCGTCGGCAACATCATCGCGTGCTTTCTACAGCCAGATCAGACTTTACAATTACGACTGGGAAGGATCGCCATCATGAATCTCATTCCACTCTTCCTCGGCAGCCGTTCGAACGTCTTTGCGGAGCTTCTTTTGGGGTTGTCTCCGCATTGGTATGGCCTGATGCATCGCTGGCTTGGGCGCATATTTCTCGTCGAAGCAATCGCGCACGCATTGCTCCATCTTGCGACAGCCCAATGGCAATTATCCTTGGTTCAGATCCTGGTACGACTTTTATGGCAACCCCTCAAACCATGTGCTAACCGAAGGAGCAAGCTCCTCTCCGTAGCCGCGAGTATATTCCTGACTTCCATCCTTTACTTTCGGCGTACGTTCTTCGAACTGTTCCTAAAATGCCATGTCATCGCTGCGCTGGGCCTCATGGTGCTGCTCTGGGTCCATGTCAGAGTTGGACAGAACATCGGTACGGTAGCTCTGATTGTCGCGACATCACTTTGGATCATAGATACCACCGTCGGGCTCTGCCGCGTGTGTGCCCGGGTTTTCGCAAAGATTAAATGCACAGTAACAGTGCAGGCACCGCCCGCTCTGCTCACTCTTGATATTGAGATACCCGAGTTCGCCATGCTGAAGTCCGTGTGCCACGGCCGTTATATCTACTTGACATCATTTTCCCACCCTCGTCATCTTCTTGGAATGTTCCAGAGCCATCCCTATTTGATCATGTGGGAGGACGTCACCAAGACCGGGCAAAAATTAACAGTTCTCATACATACCCGTCGCAACTTCAGCAACAGTCTATCGACATCGGAAGGAGCGTTTGGCGTGAACATCTGTGGTCCGTATGGCAAAGTACCGGACTTCGGCATGTATGACAAAGTCTGCTGTATTGCCAGTGGGGTCGGCATCGCAGCGCATTTGCTTACCATCAAACATTTAATCGCACAGCATAACGTGCGCAACGTTCGTGCGCGACGAATTTCCCTCATCTGGAAAATCCGAGAGCGAGCGCATGCAAAGTGGGCTAAACCATATCTCAGAGACCTGTTTAATTTACAAGAGAATTACAGGATTTTGAACGTGTACATAGTTTACGAGACTGGACCCGATAAGGATGTTTGGCTCGATGATGATGCTCAGCCAGACGCAGACGCAGTGGAGAAGCGTCACGTGTCTCATCGGCCAGACCGCGACACCCCCAGCGGCTTGCACAAGGGGCAACCTGAGTTCTCCAGATACGTGAAAGAAACGGTGCTGCATCAGCTGATAACAGGAGAATGGGCAGGAGATGCCGGGAATATGGCGATTTCGCGTAGGTATTGGGCAAGTCTAGAGACACATGATGAGTCCTGCTCTAATAATGCTTTATCACAGTTTGTGCAGACCCGGCCTTCGAAGCCGAAGTGCGCAAAGAAGTGCAGCGGCCTCCCTACGACATCGATGTGTTTACAAGCCCGTTTCGGATAGACCCATGATCGCGCCTCGGTCGCTGATTAGATTGATTAGATTGATTAGATAGACGATCGCCGGAACCGGGAGTGTACTGCTTCAGGGTTCGGGATACATATCTGCCGTGATTGTACGTTTCTGCTTTGTCACGTTTTGTGTTTTGACACATGATTTTTTGTAAATCACATTTGTTTCCCCACTTCACGGTTTCTCCACGTATCGTACGGCTGTCTACGTTTCTGGAGGCTCACGTTTTGTGTGTCTAATGTCCCTCCCGGCGTTGCGAGCCACCCTGTGTAACGAGCCAGCTTTGAAGATTTTTCTCAACAACATTCGACACCACAAGTAACGTCCCTCCCGGCGTCGCGAGCCACCCTATGTAACGAGCCAGCATTGGACACTTTGATCGATAATACTCTTCAACACCGATATGAATTTGCT